GGGAGCAGCCACTGCACTCCAGTCTGAGCGACAGAGTGAGACTCCAACTCAAAAAATATATATATATTTTTTTTTCATAATACTTTTAGTTGGCTGAATGAATAAACATCTTCATAATAACTTTTTTTTTTGAGTTGGGGTCTTACTTTGTAGCCCAGGCTAAAGCACAATGGCATGATCACTGCTCACCACAGCCTCAAACGCCTATGCTCAGGCAATCCTTCCACCTCAGCCTCCGGAGTAGCTGGAACTACAAGCGCCCCATACCTAGTTAATTTTTTTTTATTTTTTGTAGAGCCCAAGTCTCATTATGTTGCCCAAGTTGGTCTCAAACTCCTGTGCTCAGGCAATCCTCCCACCTCGGCCTCCCAGAGGTGTGAGCCACAACATCCATCCCATAACAATTTTTTTGAGTGTTGCTTTGTCTGTGAGAGCATCAACCTCAAAAATTCAATAATATGTTTCTAGTAACTTAATCAAGCAGATCTAACACTGAAAAACATATGACTTCTGAAGTAAAGACCCGAATAAGGTGATAATATTTAGCAATAAAATGTAGGAATCCTGTAAAAAATAAAATCCAAAAAGAAGAAAAACGTTAAAAAATTCATTTCAGTTCTAATGAAAGGAATTTGGAATCTCAATACATAAAGCAATTTCAATAACGATAGTATAGACTGAATTTGTATACATAACAAAAACGTGAGTTTAATGAATCAATGTTTAATAACTTAAACCATTTGAAACTAAACAAATGATGATTATGCCTGACATCCTAAATCTGTGTAAAGATAGTACTCCCTAAAACCAGATTTTCTCAAAATAGAATTTTCACATTGATAACAGATCTAGGACTTGAAATTATCTTCTCCATATGCAGAAAATAAATTCATCCAATATAAAACATTTACAGGGAAATTTATTCCAGTACTATCCAATACTGTCTCCGGAAGTAGGCATATATCAGAATTCACAAACTACAGTCTTTAGGAATCTAAAACTAGGCTATGACAATCTGCTCAGGGCAAAGAAACTGATAATAAATACTGGTGTCATTTTGCCTTTAAAAAATTGAGATTCAATCATTAGAAGGTCAACTTTGAAATCATAAAGAGAAAAAACAGAGGAAGAAGTCTTATAGCTAAGAACTCCACAAAACTCCAAGTGGAATTTTCCCACATATGTTTGACTAAAAAAAGGAAGACTACAAGCAAGGAAAAAGTCTAAGATAAAGGGACAGATTAGTGACACTAATCTGTCAGACCATGGTCCTAATTGGTCTCTAGACAATTAGCTTAGAGGAAAACAAAGGCAGTGAACCTTCTTTCTCACAAATAGGTGCCTGTGATTATATGAGTTACTGGGTAGAGAATTTATAAATGCTTTCCTGGAAAAGCAACTCCAAGCACATTTCCTATTGACACTTGTTCAATGACATCAACTTGCATGTGAAGGACAGCACGCTGTTCAATCTAGATCCCAAGAGATCTTTCAATTATATTGATGAAGACAAGCATTGGGTATAGAAACGTAATTTGTGACTCAGTTTTGTGACTGAGTCCAGATGAGTAATAACCCTCTAAGCTTGCTGACGCGCTCCTTATAGACAGGCTGTATACATTTTGGACTGTCCTCCCAGTCATAACATCCTCTGCTAACTACCTGGTATCAAACATTGACCATTAACCATCTGAGGGGTGAATAGGTATGGCAAGGGTTGATTCTCCATTCTCGGCTGTTTAAACTGTTATCACGGTAAAGCAGAAAGAGAAAATTTAAACTTGAGTTCCAGCTCAAGTGCCTGGTGCCAAGTTTTGGTGAAAGCATCTTATGCATTGTCAAGGCTGTGAAATTTAATACTGAAAATAAAAGTCTTCTGAATGTTAAGACTTCCATCAAAAATACGACCTTTTCTTAACTCACCCAACCCAAGTAACTGAGTAGTACATTCGATGTTCCTTACCTGGCACATGCCAAAGCCACCAGGGCAGCAGCAGCATTTTCTTTTTGCTTATGTGGGATGTGTCGGCCTGTGTCAGAAGTCTCCTCTAACCAAGAGCAAAGCAAAGTTTCAATTCCATTGAGACAGTCAGCAGGCTCCTTGGTCAAGCTCAAAGGCTGGCAGTCGCGAAGGCAGTTCAATAGCACCTCAGCAGTTATGTTACAGAGAGAGGGGTCTGTTCTACTCTGGGACTGAATAAGGGGGAAGACCAGCAGGAGCCCCATCCGTGATGTGAAGGGCGCTTGCTCGGGTTGCTGCAGCAAGCCCTGGCGTTTGAGCAGGGCCAACGTTTCCTCGTCACCCGAACTTTCCCTTTCATGCTGTTCTTCCAAGGCCAGCTGGCGCTGGGCATTCCACAGTCCTCGCAAGGCATTCAGGCGGTATTCCAGCAGGCGGGCATAGGCATTGCTCTGATTCCCACAAACAGAGCGCAGACGTTCTGCTAATTCCGACGGGTTCTTGGTCTCAAATGTTAATATCTAAGGAAAAAGACAATAGTCAGTACGTATTGCTTTTACAAAAGTCTTCTATGAAAGCAATATGTTAATGATATACCAAAACAGTTCATACCAAACATTATTTTATTTATATATATATAAATATTTTATTTATATATATAAATATTTTATATATATTATATATATGTATGTATATATATATATATATATACATATACATATACATACATATATGAATCAGAGTCTCACTTTGTTGCCCAGGTTGGAGTGCAGTGGCACAATCATGGCTACTGCAGTCTCGAACTGCAGGGCTCAGGGATCCTTCTACCTCAGCCTTCCAAGTAGCTGGAACACTATAGGCATGTGCCACCATGCCAGGGTAAATTTATTTATTTATTTATTTATTTTAGAAATGAGATCTTGCAAAGTTGTCCGGGCCAGTCTCCAACCCCTGGGCTCAGGCAATCCTCTTGTCTCTGCCTCACGTAAGCCACCGCACCCAGCCCCCAAAATTATTTTAATTCCAACCAAATAGAAAACATGTACTGCAAAGCCAGTTATTTGCTCATGGAGATTTTCCCCTTTGGCTTTTCTGCTGATGCTCCTATTAAAATGCAGATTAGACCTAATTGAAAGATAATATCATAAAATAATATACAGTTAAGAAAGTCAGAAATAAATCCAAGAAATATATTTTAGAAAAATAAATTTTTCTAAAATAAAAATCTGTATTAAAGTATAAATCTGTATTAAATGGTTTTAAGTTATAAATGTTAAATCCTATCACCAGGTGGATTAATAGTGAAAATTTAACAAAGTTTTATCTTTGTTTTTCTTTTTTCTTTTTTTTTTTTTTTGAGTTGGAATCTCACTCTGTCACCCAGACCGGAATGCAATGGCCACTCCCGGCCACTGCAGCCTCGACCTGCTGGGCTCCGGCGATCCTTCCGCCTCAGCCTTCCAAGTAGCTGGAACTATAGGCGTGCACTACCACGCCCGGCTAATTTTTGATTTGTTGTAGAGATGAGGTCTCGTCAAGTTGCCCAAGCAGGTCTCAAACCTGCGGGCTCAGACAATCCACTTACCTTGGCCTCCCAAAGTGCTGGGATTACAGGCTGAGCCACCGAGCCCGGTCTCTTTGTTTTTTAAAACCTAATATACCTACAAATAAATGATGAATTATTTAGTGTTCTTCGGTTTTGAAACATACTCCATTATTAAGTGTTAGCCCATTATGTCAATGTGTGACATAGTACAGATTTATCCAGTTCATAATAGTAAAACCACCACTATTTTCCTGCCAAACACATAATTATCAAGATGCATCCTCTAGATTTTCAGCAGCTGGGGATAATAAAACTATTAAAGCTTCTATCAACTAAGAAGGGAACTAGTTCTCAAGATCAAACTAAATCTCAAGAATCAAACTAAAATTACAATACAAATAAGTTATACATGTAAATCTGACTAGCTCAAAATGAAAAGACAATTGGACTCCATGAAGGAGGGCCATCTAGGAGCAATTACATGAAAACAGATTATCTAGCAATAGAAGTGTCCAGTTCTCAGTAGACAAGAAAGGCTGGGAAGAGGCTTGGAATAAAGCAAAGAAAATTCTGGTAGGTCACTAGCATTAAGAATGCTAGTGGGCTGAGCACAGTGGCTCACACCTATAATCAGCACTTTGGGAGGCTGAAGTGAAAGAACTGCCTGAGTTCACGGATTCAAGACCAGTCTGGGCAACTTGGTGAGACCTCATCTCTACAATAAATCAAGAAAAATTAGCTGGGCATGATGGTGCATGCCTGTAGTTCCAGCTACTTGGAAGGGTGCAGAGGCAGAAGGATCACCTGAGCCCAGCAGGTCGAGGCTGCCACTGCACTCCAGCCTGGACAACAGAGTGAGACTCCCAACTCAAAAAAAAGAAAAAAGAATGCTAGTGACACTGACATTAAGAAAAGTCAGCCGGGCTCCGTGGCTCAGCCTGCAATCCCGTGCTTTGGGAGACTGAGGTGAGTGGATTGCCTGAGCTCGCGGGTTCAAGATCCGCCTGGGCAACTTGGCGAGTCCTCATCTCTACAATAAAATTAAAAAATCAGTTGGACATGGTAGCAGATGCCTGTAATTCCGGCTACTCGGAAGGCTGAGGCAGAAGGATTGCCGGAGCCCAGCAGGTCGAGGTTGCAGTGGCCGGGAGTGGCCGCTGCACTCCAGTCTGGGTGGCAGAGTGAGACTCCAACTCAAAAAAAAAACAAAAAACAAAAAACAAGAAAAGTCATAGTGCACTTTATTTCTCTTACTAACCAGAAAAATACTTCCATCTCAAATTTTGTATTTAAAAACTGTTAGCCTAACAAAATAACAAGAACTGCCAGAGCAATGCAAAAACTATAACTGCCTTTTTTAACTATACTGTATATGCAACTCACTGAACTGAAGTGGAAAAATGTTCATGATTTAAAAACAACACCACAGAAGCAAAATGGAAGGTGGAAGAAACTAAAGAAAAACAAAGACAAGCTGAATTAGAAGCTGCCCAGTTAGCTAAGGAGAAAGAAGGGAAAGTTAGACATCAAGCATTATTGGCAAAGAAGAAAAAAAGACATCCAGAAAAAAAAATTAAAGAGGAACAGCAAGTTGGGTGTGAGTGGCATGTGCCTGAAACCTTAGCTGTTTGGGAGGCCAGGTGTGGTGGTGCATGCCTATAGTCCCAGCTACTCAGGAGGCTGAGATGAAAGGAGCCCGAGCCAGAAGGTTGAGGCTGCAGTGAGCCATACTCTTATCTCTGCACTACAGTCTAGGCAAAAGAGCGAAACCCCGACTTTAAAAAAAAAAAAGAAAGAAAAAGAACCAATTCAAAATTCAGGGCTAGCTTGTCAGATCAGACATAACATCCAAATGCCATAAAATTTCAACCAACAGCTTAGCAAAAAAAGGAAACTACAGATAAACACAATTGCTTCAACAAATCTAATAGTATTTGGCTGCATGAAAGAAACCAATTTTTTTTTTAAATGTTCTATATTATTTCATTTCTATGACATTTTGGAGAAAAAAAAACTACAGTGATACAGAACAGATCAATAGTTGCCAGGGTTTAGGGGTAAGGACATGGTATGACTATATAGGAATACAATGAAGGGGTTTTGGAAGGTGAAGGAATTGTTCTGTATCCCAATTATGGTGGTGGTTATATGAATCAATACATGTGTTAAAATTCATAGAAATGCACACCCTCCCAAAAGGGTCAGTTTTACTATGTAATGATTTTTTTAATTAAAGGGGAAAAGATCTCCAACAAGGTTACAGTTGTATTCAACTAGATATTATTAGATAAAATTATACTGAAAATCAGATTACTAAAAATAAGAACTAGAGGTGTTTTTAATACAACAGAGTTGGGGCAGTCCCTTTGGGTACCCTCCCACTGTGGGAGCTTTTCTGTACTCTCAATAAATCTTGCTTTCAAACAGCAACAACAACAGGATCAAACAAATAATGAGTGTTGAAATGTCCTTCACCATAAAGGCATACAAAAATTGAAGCCCCCTACCCCTTTGTTTAGATTCCAAATGCCAATTACTCTTTTTGATTATTTTTCAAATGGCAGCAGTTAAAATAACTCAAGTTCTTTAAAAAATGATCACATTTCAAAGGCAACCACCTGCCTTGAAATTGTAATCATACCCAAGAAACCCTACTGCCTATTTGCCTTTATTTAGCACCACTCCTCCCCAAAACATCAGCAACCTGCCTCCATCATTACAATCAAAGATTGCTAAAATATTTTTCAATGTTGTGAAAAATCAGAAAATTTTAAATTTGATCATCTTCCCCATTATGAACATCTAAGCAAATAAGAAATTTTGTAGCATTCTTTAAAAACTTGACAATATTGATTTTATTTCTTCCACCCAATGCAATTATTTGATGTAAAATACATATGCGCTCCATATGTACATTTTTACCCATGGCACACTGATCATGTACTTATGCCCTATGAAGCAACTATTAAAAAATTCAATATAGACTTTTGCTGAACTCAAGAATTGAAAAACAAGTCAGTAATGTAAAAATCAACTATTTATATTTATTATCAATCTCAAACACAAGTACTAAAATAAGATATTTCATGGTACATAAATGATGTGTCTGACAGAATCTGTAGCTAATTCCAAATATTAACTTAATATAGCTTTTAAAAACTATATCATATACTCTGCATTTTTCCGACTATTCTATTTTTATACATACCTCAGTTATATTTAGCATTGCACTTAAAAGACAAATATTCTGAAAGGATTTCAGTTATAATATAATTAACCAAATATTATATAATATACACACTTAAATGTCGGTTATGTTTATCGATTTAGCAGTATTTGAAGCACACTATGCTTTCAGAAATGCATTAGACTACTCAGCATAATCCATTTCAATGGCTCCTTATGAAAACTCAGAACTGTCTTGCTATGCTGTTTTTTTAGAATTCTAAAGTTTGAAGGTCATAGCCTAAAATCATTTTATAAAGACATCATACCTTTGGGTTTTAGTAAGTCAGCTATGGAGGATCTATTCTGGTACTTATGAATATTAAATGATTTGTCTCAGATCCTCATATAAAACCACTGCTCTTGACCAAAATGTCATTAGAAACTTAATCTTTTTCTCTTTAAAAAGGGGGAAAGCTATTTAAGGAAAAGGGAATATCCCTGTCATCCTTAATCAAAAGGGTTACTAACTGTACTTTGGTGATAATGCTGAAGTTGCCCCAATTAAGGGAGTGACTTTCAAAGTAACTGACAGCCTTAATGTAATTTTTTTCAATCATACATATGTATATTTTAAAGCTGAGATAACAATCATTCTGGAAAGCCTAATAGAATGCAGGCAAAATATCCTTTGCTGGCCAAATCTGACTTTGAACAAGACTCCAGTATCTGATACAAAAACAGAGAATCAGATCATTTTAGCCAATTTATTTCCATATTCTATCTGGGAAAATAATGGAGAACAT